TTCAAATAGTTGTATCTCAGCCAAATATTGTCCTATCCTAACAAACCATACATCAATGGAAAGCTTATTTATTCAGCTTTCAGATGATGCATACATCTCAATTTCAAAAAATGTACCCTTATGACTGGTTTTGTGGTCCAGGGTCACATATTAATGATATATTAATTTAAATAATTTTAATTTTAATTTCATCCTGTGGGCTCCTTGGAAGTTTGCTGAGGGCCCCTAATGGCCTCCAGTCTTTTCCTCTCTCGCTCTCTTTTTGTCTCTCTCTCTGTTTCTCTCTGTTTCTCTCTCTCTCTCAATTTTCAATTTCAATTTAAGAGTGCTTTATTGGCATGACAAAAACTATACATTTGTATTGCCAAAGCAATTGCAGCTGGGCTGCTTACAAAATAGTGCACATGTATTAGCAGAAAGAAAAATAATAATAATAATATATAAAAAAGTATTAAGCATGTAGTGCAAAATGAATTACTAATGTATGTAAGTATATAAACTAGAAATAAAAATAAAATAAGATAAGGGATTAGACAGGTTTACAGAAGCAAAATATACATCTAAGTAATATAATACAGTAGTATGGCATAATATAATCTGCATGTGCTGGAAACATCAGATCAGGGCAGACTGAGTGTTGCTCTGGGTCTGTGTGCAGTGACGTCTGAAGGTGAAGGAGTCAGCTGTGTCTGTACTGTATCTGGACGTCTGACATTGGGTTACTGATGGTTCGGCTGATAGTTTTGCTGTCGTTCAGAGCTCAGCAGGAGTTACTGAAGTGCTGCTGATTAAATATGACTCGTTATACGCTAGTTTACGGCGGGTGAATTATTGCTAATTTATTTTGCTCAGGAGTTACTGAAGTGCTGCTGATTATACTCGTTATACGCTGGTTTACGGCGGGTGAATTATTGCTCGTTTATTTTGCTCAAAAACACCCGTAGCCCAAAACTCATCAGGTCTCCACAGGAGTTCATTTATGTGTGTAATTAATTAGCAGAAGAGCTCAGTGTGCACTTACATAACTATTGTTTGGGGGCACAATTATCTTCAAAAAAAGTGACTGAAATCTGGGACCTCATCAAAATGTAAATGATTTGTAATGCAATGTTTTTCTTTTTCTTTTTCTTTTTTAAATCTACAATTTTTTGTTTAGTTTATATTTGACATATTCAATGTATGCATTTTTATACATATACATGCATGCATACACACATTTTTAGATTTATATATTTATATTATGTTAATAATAGCCTATATTATTTACATGCACACACATACATATATATATATTATTGATTAATTATTTATTTTATATTTTACATATTCTATATATATATACATTATGCGTAAATACATACATATACATGTACTGTACATTCATGAATGTAAAACATTTATATGTAACTTAAAATGTGTTATTGATTAATTATTATAAGCATGACATTTATGTGTCTAGATATATATCTTGCATATGTCTCTATGTAAATAGTTAAATCTTTAAGTAAACGTGTGCTATTGGCCATAAATGTCTTTATCATTATTACAAAACAAAGATAAAGTTTCTGTATCAGTAATTATGCAACAAGGAGCTCTGCTCACTCATCACTTCCCAAATATGTTTCTGATTTATTGGAGTGATTTGTTTTTATTGGAGTTCATCATCCTTAATCTAATCTAAAAATGCATCTCTGATTTTTCAAACCAATTTTCCCGTAATTTTTGTAGGGCGGGGCTTGATTTATTTAGTAGGAGTTGATTGGATGGTGAAAAATCTGTTACATACCAGAAAAAAAAAGTTCTAATCTGATTTCCGTCTCACTTTTTTGAGCAATTTTTGTATCGAGTGAATAAATGTAGGTTGCTGTTGGCCTTGAGACAGATGTGCATTGTGAGTATTGAAAGACAGCTAATGGGATTAAGCGAGAACAGGAACTTTAGTTTGACATCATTAAATCGATTTTCAACCGGCTCGCGGTTAATCGTTACATCCCTATCTTTTAGGGTTGGTGGTCTGCTCTGCG